AGTGCCCTCCAGTCTAGATTTTGGACTGACGGGAATCCTTCTCCTTTATTTATTATTTTTATTAGTTTTAGTCACTTTAACATTACTTAAAAGGAGGTGAACGTAATTATATTAAATTTATAAAATTTATTATATTTTTACTAAATCTTAGAAAATGTAAGTATAATTTACCCTTGTATTTAAATAGTGGAATTCAGTAACTTATGTAGTCTTATTATTAGTCAGGGGTAATAGACGACTAGACATAACACTCCCCTAGCATCATAAAAGAAAAAAAAGGTTACTTGAACAAAAATATAATACAAAAATTTACAGAGAAAAAATATATTGAATTTCTCTTATGGATTTTATTTCAATAATTTGAATTGTTCATTTTATAGAGTTTTGTATGTATGTTATTCATAAAAAAAATTATGTCTATTTGATAATCGTAGCCTGTTATTTTATCACATTTGTCTCTGAAAAAATGAACAAGTATATTTTTAAAAATAGACCATTCATTTTTTTAAAGGTAAACGCGATACAATGAAAATGTTATGATTATCGAATAGACTTAATTTTTTTTTTTCAAGGTTACTATACATAGAGCACCCTATAAAATTAGTATTTTGTGGGCTTCAGAGACCCTAACTAAAATGCCCCAGATTTTATTACTCATATATCGTTATCCAATCCTTGATTATAGTCCATTTCCAAAATAATAAAAACGGAAGCAAGAATAAATAGCTAAGCAATAAATGTTCTCTCTCGTATGCACGGTGATGAACTGTTCAATTACAATAATTTATAACATGTGCCCTTGGGCTTACATAGAAGAAAATAAAACAAAACAAATAAATAAAAAGGGATCAACCATTACTACAATAAGATGGCATTCCGCCTACAAGTAATAGACCCCGTGGTCAACAAATAAGGAGACTCCATGTTCTTGAACAATATTCCAAACTTCTCACCTGAAAAATGGTTAACAATGTGGGGATGAACACTAATGTCCACTAGAGATCCCAATGATTCTAAACAATAGTATAATATAGATATATATGATCATGAATGCTCCAGCTCAATAAATATACATAGATAGTGTTGTTTTGCACATCCAAAATATACATGCATACGTATACTTTTCTCAAAAGAATCATTCTTCATCATTTCAAGAAAAATCCATTTTTTAGACCTTCGTAACTTATTATTTTCAATTCAAAAGATTTCCAAACCGAAGTCACATCTCGAATATCACACAATAACCATTTCGGCAACTCTACGACTCATCTTTTATAATCCAAATGATTTCATCACGTTGTTTGTTTTCAAAAATCAAATCCACAATTAATCCTTTATACTCTCGTGTTACTCATTTACATCAAACAGCACTAATAAACATAACAATTATATTCTCAATAGAATCAATCCACCTCATAACACAACTTCAACTATATTCTTAATACATATTTTTGTCAACAATAATCTCTACAAATATACACACATTAGCAATAAAATCTCGAAATGAAATAAACAACTTGTGGTCTCGCCAAGCCCCACATTACCATCGTGGTCTCGCTAAGACCCATGTCTGCCTGCTTTACCGGTTGCTAGCCGGAAGGAATGCATTACCTCTATATAGCATAGCCTGCTTTACCGGGTGCTAACCGGAAGGAGCGCATTACCTCTATATAACACGTCAGCCCACTTTACCAGTTGCTAGCCGGAAGGATCGCGTTACCTCTATATAGCACAACCACATTCCATAACACGTGCATCTCAATTTCCTTCCATTCATTCACATATGATTACGTAATTATGCAGTTAATCAACAACACATAAGGTTTCATATCAACCTGTTTCACATCAATTCCACAACAAGTAATATCATCCTCCATCGATGGCCAAGGACAAAACCTCTTAGCAGTTAATAGTAATAGTATAAATTCTTGTAAACAAGATAGTGTGATTCTCATAACATTTCCATACCTCAATATTACCAATATTGTCTAGTGTTAGATTAACCATTATACCATCTCATAATGTCCACAATGGATTCGACTATTTTTTATCACCAATATTTACAACATAGGCCAATTTCATGATAATCATTTACTTCATTCTCTCTCTACTTTCCATTTCTAGTTCACAATAATTATTACAATCATCTATTAATTACTTTTTAACTATCACATTTTTCAATTTACCAATGACAATACCTAGCTCAACCATTCATAAACATTAACCTTTTTCACACTACATATAAAAATTAGGGTTTTTCATTTTAAACTTCACAACTAACTTTTAATAGCATCCATTCATCATATTAACCAAGACATCACAAGATCAACCATTTAAATTTCCTTCTCTTCCCATAAAAAAAAAAAAAAAAAAAAAATCAACATGAATCAATATTTATATAATATATATATATATATCATCTGTTCTTTGCATTCTCGTAAACATTAAATTAAAAATTGGGGCTTTTTATTTCAACCATCATAAACATGTTCTACTAGCCTAAAATTTCCATAATCTACAACAAAATATAAGATTAAACTATTTGATTCAAAACCTAAATCTCATCTACATGCATTTCAAAAAAATCACTTATAAACTCATGTTTTTTATACAATAAAAGTACCACATATCTATCTATAGTGATTTATTGAAAAGAATCAACGAAATCCCTACCTCAAAATATGAAGAAAAGCAAATCCGAAAATGCAAGTTTGCCGGATTAAGAATCCGAGACTACCGGTGCGAAGAGTGTAATGAGCTCTCCAACTTTCGTTTACAAAGATTGTGCAAAATTTCACTCTAAGGACTCTCACTTTAAGATCAAAGCTTGAGCAACAATAGTGAAAATTGGAGAGAGAGAGAGAGAGAGAGAGAGAGAGAGAACCAACACTCTGGGAAAGTAAAAGAAAACAAAAATTATCCGGACCCCCTCCGGGGGTGACCCCCACGAGCCCCTCAAGCCTTTGATTGGCTAGATATTTTTTTCTTTTTTTTTTTCTCTCCTCCTCCTCCTCATCCTCCTCCTCCAATTACCAAGCCCCACGTGTGTGGGGGTGGTGGGGGTTAGTGATTGATGGGGTCTCAATCACTTCGCAAAAGAAAATGATGCAGGAGGAGGAAAGAAAAGGTAAAAAGGAAAGGGGTGACCCCACGTGGGTTGCCTCCCTTCTTTCTTTCTTTCTTTTTTTTTTCTTTTTCTTTTTCATACATACATTTATATATATATATATATATATATGCATCAATTAAAATTATTTTAATAACACTTTAATATTTTGTAACATAAAATAATATAATTTGTTTCATCACAAAATATATTTTTCGTTTGATAAAACACACTATAAATTCACATTTCAATTATTTATTATAATACAACATAATAAATAATAGCAACGCTTAAAGGGGTACCTTCCATTCACATAATTAAAAAGACCAAACAATTAAACATGTGTTACATGAACCCAAATTAAATTGATTCTAAATTATGGCTCTTGAATTAAATTTCCACCCAATACGTTTTACCTCAAGTCATGATTTTAATATTAAATCTCAACACAAAAATTCTATTATAAATTAAACTGAACATTGTTCAATTCGTAAATTTTCATAAAATAAATACTCGCCTTTAAATTCCGAAATTTTTATTCAACATACTAGACTCTCATAATAACACCATAATAATAAAAAAAAAAAATTATAATTTCTGAGATCGAAAATTATATTTAAAAAAAAAATTATTACAAAATTGAATCATTTTCTCACATAACTTTACACAACACTCCAATCCAAATATTACTCAATTAAATTATACACTGACTATTTAAATATATATATATATATATATTCGGGTCATTACACTAACATAACGGTCCAATTCAGATTTTGAACTTAAAAAAAAATTATATTAAAAATAAATGAATATATATGTGCACAAATTTATTTTGAATAATTCTTACCATATTTAGAATGAATTAAAATTACACTTTTAATTTTCTATGCATATTTTTGTATTTTTATTTTGTATTTGTGCAAATACGTTTACAGTAAAAAACACACCAGTCATAATCATACAACAAGGAATAGCCATTCAACAACTAGCTTGATATAAATGTATGAGAAAATATATTATTTTGACTTCTAAATTATTATTAAAAAATTAATTCAATCTTTGTTATTTTAATAATATCAATTTTGTATTTGAATTATTCATTTTTGCATTAATTTTACTCTCACCATCAATTATCATCTATGATTAAACGGAAGTTATTGATATGGCACCCAAAGTTCATTTGAAGTTTCATTTTATCCCTCAAAATATCAATTAAACTCTTGAATAAAATGAAGTTTAGCGGTCTAATTGATATTTTAGAGATAATTTGAGGATAAAATAAAATTCCAAATGAAATTCAGGTGCTATGTCACCAACTTCTGTTTGAAGAATATAAACACCATCTAATAGCGATGATAGATAGTGGTAGCGGTAACGAGATGGTCGTGATGGTAAGTCGTTGTGGATCATAACCTCTCTCATTTGTATTATAGTAGATCAATAACATTAGAAATCAGGAACTCATACAAAAATATAAGAGTAAAAAAAAAACGAAAAAATAATTTCTAGTTCAAATTCTTAACTCTTACACAGTGAAGCTCACATTTGGATTAAATTCAGACCAAAAACTATTTTTTTGGTCTTCTGTGTCTAACTACCTGGTTCCTAAATTCATCACGACATATACAATGAACAAATCATAAACCATAAAACTCCAAAACATAGAATAATGAAGCAACCAAGTTTCACATATATAGATTAAAACAACTACTTAGAGCCAACCCAACAACTAAATAATCTTCAAGGCTATACATATAGTAACATGAAATTTATTCTGGGAAAAAAATAGAAAGAAGTGCACTCAAACAACTACAACCACCCACCCACCCATGCAAACACTACAAAGACAGAGAAGGGAAGAAAGCAAATCATTGTGATTTCACTTGCCATTCTACTTATTAAATTGAGCCGCTCTCACTGCTATAGCTGCTAGTACATTCTCTTTGATCATATCAACGAATCGAAAATAAGCATGTCTCCAGTTCTTCTTGAACAACAAAACTCCAATAACTCCCCATAACCCTGTGGCATAGCCACTCATTATAACCAAGTAAAACCATACCTTTTCAGACACATCTCCTTCATATGTTTCTTCATTACTTGTGGATGGCTGAGCAGGTTGAGAATGTTCGTCATTAGAGCATTTCTTTGGTACAAAAGCTCCACAAAGTTCACTATTGCCAACATAAATAGAAGGGTCATCAAGAGTTTGGAGCTGATTACCCGTTGGGATACGTCCTGAGAGGCTATTGTATGATAAGTTCAAGTGACTTATAAAACTCAAATTTGACATGCTCTCCGGAATTGTGCCTGAAAGTTTATTGTTAGAGAAATCAAGAGATTCCAATGACTTTAAGCCACCGATCTTCTTAGGGATGCTTCCTGTCAAATTATTGTGCGATAAATTAAGCCCAAGCAAACCTGAAAGAAGTGAGAGCTCTTCAGGGATCGTTCCAGTCAGATTATTCCTCGAAAGATCCATGTTCACTAGATATAATAGTGTAGTGCTGTATTCAAGTTCATTTCCCTTCATGTCCTGCATCATGTTTTCAGAAAACCATTGCCCATACTCAAGTCTTGAATGTTCATACAAGACCATACCACTGAGATTGCCATAACAGCGAGGGATGGTTTTTTCCAAGTTATTGTTTGCAAGGTCTATGATTTCGAGACTTGACAGTTGACATAACTGTAAAGGAATCTTGCCATTAAACATATTCTTGTGTAGTCTCAGAATTCTCAATGATTCTAATTCTCCAATCCATCCAGGTATGTTTCCAGAGAATCCATTCTCACCAAGATCCAAAACTAATAAACCTGTGCAATTTCGCAAACCCATAGGAAGCTCTCCATAAAAACTATTGTTATTCAAATGTAACCATCCCAGTCTAGACAAATGTCCAATAGAGCTTGGAATAATCCCTGAAAGCTTGTTAGATGAAAATTTCATAACCCATAGATTTGGGATTTCCCTTGAATCCCCCCAACACTGAGGAAGATTTCCAAATAACATATTCTTAGAAAGATCTAATTCATCCAAAGTCCAAATTTTGCACAATGAATTGGGTATCAAACCATTTATCAAATTGTCAGCTAGTGACAAAGTAAGCGAAGTAGGCACCATATCACCAATATTTTGTGGAAGAGGTCCTGAGATATAGTTATGGGAAAGGCAAACAAATTCTAAAGTGGAAGGCAATTTCAGAATGGGTCCACTGATATGGTTATGAGAGAGATCTAATGTCCAGAGAGGCATGTCAAGAAGCCATTTAGGGAGGGTTCCTGATATACTAGTATTGGAAAGATCCAATTCAACAACTTTCTTTTGTGTTTGAAGCCATTGAGGAAATTGAATCCCTACTCTACAGGACCCCATTAGAAGGGATTTCAATTGAAAAGGAGGTATCCAATCAGATCTGACCTTCAATGTCAAGAACGCAGAACTTGTTCTCAATTCTTCCAACATTGAGAGGTTGGACAAATGAGTTTCAGAAAGTACTGCGCCTTCCAGGGAATTAGAAGAGAGATCTAAGATCTTGAGATTTGATAATTGTCCAATAGAAACAGGAATGGTCCCATTTAACTTGTTGTAAGAAAGATCTAGTACTCTCAAGGCTGATAGGTTCCCTAGCGACGGTGGGAAGACCCCAATAAATTGATTAGCACAGAGGACTATATTGTGCAAGGGTGACATTCTTCCCAACCAATTTGGATTCGAACCATTAAACAAGTTCCCTGAAAGATCAAGGTATTTCAAATGTTTAAGCTGTCCCAACCAATCTGGTAAATGACCGATGAAACCATTATCACTTGAACACAATGTCTCGAAATTGTACATGGTGCAACTGGACAAAATTCCATAAGAAATGAACATCTTTTTGTCAAATCTGTTGCCACTCATATCAAATGATCTCAAACTACATTGATTTGACATTAGACTCAACATCCCACTAACATCATGAAATGCGTTGTAGCCAAGATTGAGATGTTCAAGGCTCTTATGCTTTTCCAGATAGAGAGGAATAGAAGAATTAAACATGTGACCCTTGCTTTTTCTTGCAAAAAGACCAAAAAGCCCTTTGTTCACAAAATCCCTAATCAATACATTCACAATACAAATCGAATTGTTCAGAGAAAGAAAAGAGAGAGGGAGGCGATCGTCGTGAACCGATCGTCGATTGTGAAGAAGACGAAAAAGCTTGAGGTTTTGAACCGATCGTCGTTGCCAGTACACAATGTAAAAGAGTTTCATCGGTGAGAAGTTGCTGTTACGGCTTCCAGGTAAGACTTCGAACTCTGTAAGCTTCGAATAGTGTTTTAAAATGTGTGTTGATGATTTTCGAATATTTTTTTCCATCTTTTTTCTTATAAATTTGTTTGTATTCTGTGTTTGATTTGATGAAATGTATGTGAAAATGGTTTTCTTCGAAAATATATATTTAGAGTTTATATTTTATTTGCAAAATTTCTGACTGGAAAAAAGGAATTTGTTGAATATTACTATAATAATAGTGTAATGTAGGGATTTAATATAAATTTCTGATTTTTTTTATTTTATTTATGAGATGTATGTTTAGGGCTTTTATTTGATTTGCAATGTTTAGGGCTTTTATTTGATTTGCAATGTTTAGGGCTTTTATTTGATTTGCAATGTTTAGGGCTTTTATTTGATTTGCAATGTTTAGGGCTTTTATTTGATTTGCAATGTTTAGGGCTTTTATTTGATTTGCAATGTTTAGGGCTTTTATTTGATTTGCAATGTTTAGGGCTTTTATTTGATTTGCAATGTTTAGGGCTTTTATTTGATTTGCAATGTTTAGGGCTTTTATTTGATTTGCAATGTTTAGGGCTTTTATTTGATTTGCAATGTTTAGGGCTTTTATTTGATTTGCAATGTTTAGGGCTTTTATTTGATTTGCAATGTTTAGGGCTTTTATTTGATTTGCAATGTTTAGGGCTTTTATTTGATTTGCAATGTTTAGGGCTTTTATTTGATTTGCAATGTTTAGGGCTTTTATTTGATTTGCAATGTTTAGGGCTTTTATTTGATTTGCAATGTTTAGGGCTTTTATTTGATTTGCAATGTTTAGGGCTTTTATTTGATTTGCAATGTTTAGGGCTTTTATTTGATTTGCAATGTTTAGGGCTTTTATTTGATTTGCAATGTTTAGGGCTTTTATTTGATTTGCAATGTTTAGGGCTTTTATTTGATTTGCAATGTTTAGGGCTTTTATTTGATTTGCAATGTTTAGGGCTTTTATTTGATTTGCAATGTTTAGGGCTTTTATTTGATTTGCAATGTTTAGGGCTTTTATTTGATTTGCAATGTTTAGGGCTTTTATTTGATTTGCAATGTTTAGGGCTTTTATTTGATTTGCAATGTTTAGGGCTTTTATTTGATTTGCAATGTTTAGGGCTTTTATTTGATTTGCAATGTTTAGGGCTTTTATTTGATTTGCAATGTTTAGGGCTTTTATTTGATTTGCAATGTTTAGGGCTTTTATTTGATTTGCAATGTTTAGGGCTTTTATTTGATTTGCAATGTTGAGGGCTTTTATTTGATTTGCAAAATTTCTGATTCGAATACAGGGAATTTGTTGAAAATTTATGAATTTATGATTTTCTGGGTGTTATTCAGGAGATGTATGTTTAGAATGAATTTCTGATTTGTTGGGTTTTACTTATGATTGTTTAATATTAGTATAATTATAGTGTAATTTACGGATTTCTTCATGTTTGCATATTTTCTTCAGTTAATTGTTGAGTACTGAGTTAATTTTTACGTCATTTTTCTTCTTTTTCTTGTCAATTTGTCATTGTATGGGCTTGCTTATTTTATTTTATAATTGGTACATCATTATGATTACAGTATGGCTGCATTTCCTTATTTTGATTTAATCATCAACTACAAAGGAAAAGTGGGAAGAGTGTTTGATGTGGACCCAAATATGTATTGCTACATTGATGCCTTGAAGGATGTAACTGCAACAGTCCTGTCTCACATTTCTTGTAGTGAAGCAATAGCAATCACATTGCGTTGTAATATGCCTGGTACTGAGACAAGGAGACTAATAGAAAATGATCTTGATGTGCTAGACATGTTTTATGTGCAAGGTAAGAGTAAAACAATTAACTTGTATGTAGACAAAGCATATTCTATTGGAATGAGTGATGGTGGACATAGAAGTAATGTTGGAAATGAAAATGTTGGAGGTGGAAATCATGGAATAGATGTTGTAGATGTAGAGCAAGACTACCATACTGTAGATATAGATAAAGAGTACCATGAGGGCAATGTTTATGGGTTTAGTAATGAGGATAGGGATTAGAATGCAACTGTTGAGGATGAAAATCAATCAGATGGCAATGCGATTTTGACTGATAATGATAATAAGTGCTCAAGTGAAAATGATGATGCTAAACTTAGTGATTACCAATCTGGTGATGATGAAGTAGCATATTCTACTACTAATGATGATTATAATGATGAAGAAGACTATCTAGACGATGAAGAAATGAGGTTTCTAGGCATGAAGTATGATGGTACCTACAATGGGAAAGAGCTATATCTGAATCAAGATGGAGAAGTTGTATTGGAAGAGGGGATGATTTTTCCAGAAGTGAATACTTTCAGGGCTACATTGAAGGACTATACAGTGCAAACTGGTTTCAAGCTAGTAAGAGACAAAAATGAGAAGTATAGAGTAACAGCCCATTGTGCTGCTGAGGGTTGCCCTTGGAGAATTCATGCATCTCCACTTTCAGATAGGATCACCTACAAGATTAAAACCTTAGTACCTAGTCACACATGTAGTAGGATGAACACAAGCACTGAAGCTACATCACCTTGAATTGCTAAAAAATGGTTGAAAGTTTTAAGGACAATCCACACAGGGGCTTAGATACTATGCAACTGAAACTAAATAAAATGTTTGGGATTGAGGCTTCAAGGATGCAACTGTATAGAGCCAAAAGGAGGTGCGAGGAGCTAGAGGGTGATCATGGGAGCCAATATGTTTTGTTGCCAACATATGCTGAAGAAATCAAGAAAACAAACCCTAGTAGCTTAGTGGTAATAAATTATAACCTACCCTTTACCCCAGTCTCAGAAGAAGGAGAAGAACCAGACCCTACCATTTCTCAGTATCCATTGTTCCAAAGAATTTTCATATCATTTGATGCAATGAAAGCAAGGTTCATTAATGGATGTAGGCCCTTCATAGGGGTAGATGGTTGTCAGTTGAAGGGTCCCTATGGTGGTGTTCTAATTTCGACAGTTGCCTTAGAAATAATGGCTTGTTTCTATTAGCATTGGAAGTAGTAGAGGGTGAATGCAAGGGCAGTTGGTCTTTTTTATTGCACAACTTGAGAATAGTCATAGAAGATGCACTACTTTCTAGACCGTGGACCATCATGTCTGATCAACAAAAAGTAGTTTATTGACATATTCAACAACTACTTTACTTACATAATTATGCTTTATTCTCTAATTTTAAACTTGCAATGGTTACTAATGTTTCATTGTTTTTGTATACATGGCCTTGACAAGATTGTCAGTGACATTATACCAGAGGCAACTCATAGAAGATGTTACATGCACTTATATAACAATTTCAGAGCCAAATTTCCTGGTTTAATTTTGAGGAAGCAATTTTGGAGGGCAGCAAGGGCTTACAATTAGATGGAGTATGATCAGGCTATGCAAGCCATTAAGGACCTCAACAATGATGCTTTCATTTGGTTGCAAAAGGTTCTAGTTGAAGGAAGGTCTATGCATACATTTGATGGTAGGATTAGGAGTGATCACATCACAAATAACATGACAGAGTCCTTTAAAAATTGGTTAGGAAATTTGAGAAGTCGGCCAATTTTAACTATGTTAGAGGGGCATAAGGTACAAGTTGATGGGTAAGTTTCAGATGAGGTACCAAAAGGGAATGCAATGGAAATCTAATATGACCTTGAATGTGAAGAAACAGCTTGAGGTCACACTAAAATGGTCAAGGACTTGCAGAGTAGAGTATGCAGAAGGCAATGAGTATGAGGTATAGGATAATGAGGGGGTTAATCAGATTGTCCATCTTGGGGCTATGACTTGTGTATATAGACAGTGGGAAATATCTGGTCTTCCATGCAAACATGTTGTGGCTGTAATTTCTCACAGTAGGTTGAACATAGCAGATTTTGTCCACCCTTACTACTCTAAGGCAACTTACTTGAGAGCCAATGGTGAAATGATACATCCCATCTTAGACCATAGCATGTGGACACTTATACCTGGGGACCCTTTACAACCCCCACCTCTGAAAAGATTGCCAGGAAGGTCAAGGACTTCAAGGAAGAGGACTGCTCATGAGCCTCCAACTAGAACAAGTCAAAGCAAAAGGTCTAGTACCTTGAGATGCAAATGGTGCATGCAATTTGGACACAACAAGAGAACCTGCTAAAGGGGTCCAGTCAAGGGTGGAGCATCTGCTGGTGGTACGGGCAATGGCACATCCACTAGTAGAGGCAGTAGCAAACCTGCTAGTAGGGGCAGTGGCAGATCTGTGAGTAAGGGCAGAGGTAGAGGCAATTCAAGTGGGAGGGACATTTCAACAGAGAGGGGAAATACAAGTGGTAGAGGCAATTCAAGTGGGAGGAACAGTTCAGTTGGGAGGGAAAATACAACTACAAGAGGAAGTTCAACTAGGAAGGGGAGTTCAAGTGGGAGAGGTAAGGGCAAGGCCAAGCATGCATAAGTAAGTTTTTTCTATTTCTTTTGCCTTTTCATTTGTGATTTTTATTCATTTTGCTCACACAACATCATGTTAGTTATGCACTTAGTTATGAATTTACAATGAAATTATTTTCTTATTTTTTCAGCTTGCATGATTCCAACATTGCATTTTTTATTTATTTATTTGTCTGTTTGTTTGACTTTTTTTGCAAATGATTTAGCTAAGCTATTGATATTTTGGGTATAAGGATTAACATAGGTTGAAGACATAAAATATATGTTGCTTTACTGTACAGTTAGTGAGGATCATGTTCCACTTT